GCTCATTAGGTATATGTACTGTACAGTGCAGCCAAGAAACATAGTTCACAATGGACAACAGTGAAACCAACACACACAACACACAGTAAGCTTTTCTGCAACACTTGCTGTAGCACAATAAAATGAGCCAAAGCCACTCCATGTATCATGCTGCATGTATCTATTGCATGTATCTGAAATGTATGTCGCAGATAATTCCTCCATTTAAATGTAATGCACAACACTTTGTGGAATGTGTCTGGGTGCATAAACACAATCTCCTGAGAGAGTTAGGCCCCCGGCACAGTTAATGTATTGATTTTACAACGCTGTGCCATGATAAAACTATTTCATGAATTCCAATGAGACTCCTTTACCGGACTGCTGCAAAAGGAGTGAAATACAATCACCACAACGAAGAATATGTCATTGTGTTCATTGCTTGTATAATGCATTTCTTTTAGATTTATGTGGGGGAGGGGGGGGGGTCGCTGGTTGTAAGGCTAGGGTGGCTGTGAATGCTGCTGCTTTAATCTCCTCTCATTTAGAGCAATACCTCGTTCCACCTCAGTGTAAAGAGCACATGTCTAACACACACTCGTATCAGACTTTACCATGATCGTACATAATGTCACATGCAGATTTGTGATAGTGTGAACACGGTTATTTCATGACATACATGATGTATGTTATGGCTCTCTTGGTATTTTTTATGTGCATACAAGTCACTACTGCTGCTGTGGCCAGACTTGCTTTTTGATTTATTCGGTTAATAATATATCACAAAAAAAACAAAAAAACAACCGCCACTTTAACTTAAGCAATTACTTGTGTTTAACTATTAACTCAAATGACCTCTGTTGCCGTCTGTGCTATATAGCAGAACTCCATACTTTGCTTAAGGGCTGTGACTAACAGTTATTTCTCTTATCTACCATGAATTCTGTTTTTGATTAATCACTTAGTCTATAAGATATTATAGTCAAAAATGCTCCTCACGAGTTCTCAGAGCTCAAGGTGATGTCTACATTTTGACTGTTGGGTTTGACCAACAGTCCAAAACCAAAAAAGATCCAATGTAAAGCAACATAAAACTGAGAAAAGCAGTTCAATTCTCCCATATGAGAAGCTGGATCTAGCAAAGGTTTTACATTTTGTTGATAAATAACATAATTAATATTCCAAATTGATTTCAATAGATTTTCTGTCTATTTTCTGTCTGACTGACCCCTTTTTGTCATAAAAAAAAAACAATCAATAAGCTATTTCAAACAATCAAAACAGATGTAAATTGCAGAAACTGTTGTGTCACAGTCTTATTGTATGTACAATTAATGCTGCTTTGTAGGGTTGTAACAACTATTAGATTATTGAACACATGATCACTCGAACAAGGCTCAAAGACATTTTGTCAGTAAATTTCTATTTTATAGCAAAAGAAACTGTGAAGTGTTTGTGCTAAATAAGAGAAAAATGTATTTCCTCTGTACAACATGTCTTTGTTGTGGTCTTAGAGGCTTTTAGGTTTTATTGTATGTATTTTAAGGACTACATAACCAAAATTTAGTTTCTTGTTTGTATGGTTGTTTTATTGTTATGGTCCCTTTAGCTGAACATTGTTAACTCAAACTGCAATATTTTATTTTACAACCAGGCAGTTATACTCACATTGCCAACAAAGTAGTCTGATATTTCAGATACTAATTTATGAGATGTGAGATTTGATGTAAATATCTGTAGATGATGGACAGGTATAATAAACAGGTTGATTTAAAGGGGCGCTGGACTTAGAAGGAGAACTTTGACATTAGTTTATCTAATGCATTAAGGTGCTCAGAGTGAACCAGATCCTCATATGTGCATACAATAGTGATGTCAAAATAATGTGCTCTCACTAGTTATGATGGCTCAGCACCAGTGGTCAGATGCTGACCATAACTTTCAGTGAGTGAACAGAGAGGCCATAGGCTGATATGTTGCATCTACTGGCTGATGGCTGATGGTTGTGTCGCTGTGGGACAGAATGGGCGACAGGGCTCAGTTCAGCACCAGCCAGGCCCATCTGCTTGTCACCTGGTCTTGGCACGCAGGAGACTGGGTAATGACAGGGAAAGAATGGCATCAGTGGGCAGAAGCTGAGAGGTAATTACTGACTGGAATCCATGCAGAAACAACACATCTGGATCCATGAGTCAAAATGTGGAGAATTATACACTGATACCGGCCTCAATTCATGATTTTTATCTGTCAGAACCGTAGAACTGCATATCAGCCTGGAGACTAAAAATCCTTGACTCCATCCCCCTCTCTCTGATCCTGATGTTCTCTGCTCAGAGGCACAGAGAAAAATTCAATCGTACTTCAGGCAATGGAAAGGGAGAGAAAGAGAAGCGGTGCTGATACACCAAGACAATCTGCGGGGAAGATCAGCCATGGCAGCACTATAGCTTCAGTGCTGAGTGACGCTATTCTGGCTCATGTGTTACTTTTCTCTACTCCATCACTGCTCACACATTCCTCTTAAACCCCATTACTGCTGATCAATGCTGCCTCTTTCACAGTTAGAGAAAAATGATCTGCTTGAAAGTAATATTTTCTCAGCAGATTTTAGGGCCAAAGTTTACACAGTCTACCATTGTGAGATTTTACATTGTGAGATGACCCATAATGACTAAGTAATAGAAGTCTGCATTGCCGTATAATTAACATTTAGCCCCCTCAAAATAACTTGAAGTCCCATTAAAGGACCATTCTCCTCTATGAGAAATAGGCTGACCAGAGAAGTTAATGAAATCCTGCAGTTGGTCTACAGGCATCAGCCGTCACCAAATGACCCTCCTTCAATCTCCAGACAGGGTGTCTCCGTCCATGAGCCTGAGGGAATGGAGACGTGGGCCACATTCTGACTGAGTTTCCGTCCTGCATCAATGATTGCTTTCACAAACCCCATCCGCTCGAAAGAAAGAAGCCGCCACTGTGTGGAGTCTCAGATCTCTCCTCCTCTCCCTCTCCCTCTCACTCCCTCAAATTAAGATTTCAGTAATTAAATTGATAAAAGTCAAGCATGCCAATATGCCTCATGGTTCCAGACCTGATTTCATATGCCACACAGTTGTGGAGAGCTGCGGAAGTTCTACCTTTGATGTGGCATTCTTTATTATTGAAAATAATTGGATTCTCCCCCCCCCCTCTCCCTCACACATACACACATTTTGCCCATGTTCACTCTGGGCATGCTCAGTTAATCGACCTCTTGCGAGGCAGTGCTGGTGCTGCCGAGTCCCTGCTCCATCTGGGGGTTTCCAGGCAGCTTTTCAGGAGAGTGGGGCCCAGGTTGTGTCTGAAAACCGGATTTGAGCAGCCCAGGCAGTGTGCTTAGGGACGTCACTTCAACTCAGGTCAGGGGTCATTCTGCAGGTTGGAGTGGCGCCTGCCAGTGAGTGGGAGCGCTGAGACTTGTGGGAGCAGTGGCGAAGCCTACCGGGGCTCCGTTGCTCTACCTCCATATCAGCTTGGCCGAGCATAAGAACAGAGCCTCTCTGGCCCACAGGCAGCTGGCTTCTCTCCACACTCAGCGGAATGGCTGATAATCAGCAGAAAGAGACCCCTGATGATTACTCTGCCTCTGCCTAAGACGGCTGCTAACTGCTTGCCTGCTCGCTCCTCAGAATGTCAGACTAGTACTCATATTTGAAAAACCCCTCTCTCCCCCCTCCCTGTGTGCCATAGAAAAGCCTGTAATGTCCATCAATGTCAGCTCCCTTTGTATCAGGGGTAAATGTGAATTTAATTGCCACTGGAGCAGAACGAGGGAATTTTTGATTTTCCTCTGTATATCATCCTCTCTCCACTGCAGACAGATGTTACCTGTGAGTCTCCACCAGGACAAGTTGTCTGGTCTTGCTAGTTTAGTGCCGTCGCTGCTTTGTGGGCCTACGCTGTGCCGTGGCTAACACGCACCAAGAACAGCACCTATTTTAGGAGTTTCTTTGCAGCAGAAGCATAATGGTCTTAAGCAGCTTGTGTCTCCCCCTGACAAAGGGACCGCCAGAGTAAATAATGTGTTTGACGCCCAAGTGATGAGTCATTAAAGGACAGAACATCAGCCATCTTACTTTACTGACGGCACTTAGCTCAGCACAGGCTCTCCACAGCACAGGTCAGCACCACTCATGCTGCTCCTCGACAAGTTTATATAAATTTCAAGTGACTAAATATAAAGCATATTACATTGTGTGAGTCACCATTGCGTCACTGCAAAAAATTTTAGTCAGTCATTTGTGCTCATTTTAAGTTCTAAAATCATTTCTTTTTCCTTTAACAGAGTGGGTGCTTTTATTTCCTTTAAGTCAGACTAAGGTAGATCATTCACTCCAAACAGCAAACTGACTTTTATTTTGGCAAAACCTATTTGATCATGTTGATTGGTACTGGAAATAGAATGTACTAACCTATTGGCATTAAAGACAGTAATATCTGAATATGAAAAGCATTTTTGAACATGTAACAAAAAAAAAAATCAGCCGTTGTCACTGGGTTATAGGTGTTAAAGACTGTATGAAGCCGTTGTTGATATATATTATGTTAAATTTAGTATCTTTTGGACAGAGCTTGTAAAAAAGGCTGTTGTTACAGTGATGGCTTGTGTGGTTAAGAGGTTACAGTCCAGTACAGACCATTGTTGTGAATATATTATTATATACTTAGACCATAAACTAGCAATTACTGTGGCTTATCCAGTAATTATTTAGAGTAGGCATTGTTATTCAGAATGGAGGAGTATCTCTGTCGAAGTCCGCCGACAGTAGCTGTTGCCAACACTGAAGTATACTATATACCACAACTTATTAACTCTTCTAAGCACATAAGCCTTTTCTGTATTCTGTTGCTTAAGTGGGCTCAGCCATGGTCGTTTCATATTATCATGGCTCAGCTCATTGCGACTTTGGCTTCTTTCTTTAGTGCAGTTCATAAAGATTATGGGAACAAATTAAAGCTCATTCTTTGTGTCTTTTGTGCAGGTATATCCAAGGTGCATCGTCTCCAAAGGACATGGTCATCATTGTGGATGTGTGAGTGTCTCGGTGCCTCTTCTTTCAACATTACTCCCTGGCTAGAGAGTGTGGCTCCTTCAAAGGGCACTAGTGCCACCTGTTGGTCTGAGGAAAGTCTAAAGTTAGAGGAAGGCGACCTCTCCTCATCCATTTGCCACTGTACTACTGTCTAAAACAAACGGATGCTACTTTGAGTGCATGTCTGAGTAAGGAGAAATTTTGTCAGAGGATGAAACCAGTCCCCGGTGACTTTTAGAAAGGGACATGAGCAGAAAAACGTGTATTCATAAACGAAGCTCCCAAGATTCAGACCTGTTTTCCTGTAACTGAGCCTCTAAGTGCTTTGTTGCTTCTTTTCTGCAGGAGCGGAAGTGTCAGCGGACTCACTCTGAAGCTCATGAAAACCTCTGTTGTGGAGATGCTGGAGACTCTGTCAGATGATGACTATGTGAATGTGGCCAGGGTAAGTAGAAGTTTGTTAGATCATGATTTGCAATGAATCATTCAAATCACTTCTGAAACCAACAATCACACAAATATTTGTAGTATTCATTAAGCAGGTGGTAATCAAGCAGGGAGTCAGTAAACGGCACAGTGTGCTCATACTGCTCCCAGTTGTTTGCTTGCAGTGGAAACACTACACTTCCCTCATTACAGTGTATTTGCTCTTCCTGCATCACTGTTGTCCATGTGGGATTTTGCCCGTCTGTCTCTTTCACTCTCTGCTGATTACTAAGCTTTCTATTAGGACTAATGTTTAGGGGAATATTAACGTTATCCTATATTGCAGGACAGATAACATATACACACACACACACACACACACACGTCCACATGCTTGGTTTGGTGGCTCTGTTTGGAGACTTCCTTCAGTAATCCTTCATAATCCATTGCTCTTAGCCACTGTATGCCTCTAAATCCCAGCTCTAAGAGCAAGAAATGAGCATGGTAATCTGGGTGGGAACGCATCTGATTTTCACCCCAATAAAGAAAGTGAGGGCTTACAAAAGCTTGCTCTGGAATATTTGTAAACACAAAAGACATTAATAAGTAAAAAATTAACTGAAAATAATCATAAGACACCATCTCTTGAGTCTGCACGCTTCAGTACACTTCTTTATGACAAACTGTGGCCGCACTCATGTAATGCCAATATAATTAGTTGCAATAATACAGCATTTATTTCAAAGGACTATTTTATTTTTATTTATTACAGATAGTAGATGTAAACCAGCGTGCTTCTTTTCCTAATCCCTTTCTCTACTGTATATCACAACCTTTTATGGGATATTTAGAAGTAACAGAGTGATGATTCTTGAATATGTGGCTCCGATTACTTTTGTGTCTTTGATTTCTTTGTCTCCCAATTTAAATATGAAACAACACAAACCTGTGAGAAATGTCAGCTTTTTGCGCACATAACGTTTTACATCAATCTGGCCTGAAAATGTCAGTAGATTTTGAAGTTGACCTTCAAAAAGAAACAACATTTGAAACCTGCTATTACAGACATTTCTGTTTATATTTGTAATCACACATAGACACTGCACACAAGAAGAAATATATATGCCACACACACACACACACACACACACACAAACACACACACACCTTTAGGCTAATTTGGTGGATGAGATGAGACAGATGATATTACCTTGGCTGGGTTTCTGTTCAGTGGTTTGCACTGGCGTTTCAGGTGCACCTGTTCTTTGTGTGGAAAGTTGTAATTACCAGTGTTTACTGCCAGCCAGAGAGTAGCAGGGCAGCTTACATCTGCACACACCCACGTCTGCATCCTGCCGCCATGAACTACACACACATATCATAGAGAAAACACGGAAATACACAGTCTTACAACAGTTGGATACCAACTTAAATTTAGTAAAACTGTGGGTATTATTTTTGTCAGGAAAAGCTAGTGTGCATATGGTATACTCACATGTGTTTTTGCATTCAACCCTTCTAGTTCAATGAGAAGGCCGACGCTGTTGTTCCTTGCTTCAGGACTTTGGTCCAAGCCAACGTTCGTAACAAGAAGATCTTCAAGGAGGCCGTCATGCATATGCAAGCCAAAGGAACAACAGATTACAAGTCCGGCTTCACATTCGCCTTTGAACAGCTTCTCAATGTAAGAACCAACAACAGTTTCAGGGCAGGGCAACGCGAGGGTGGATGTTTGTCTGTGGTTGACAAATTGTGCGCTTCCAGAAAGTCTTAGATAACATGCTGGAACTATGTACTGTAGCTTCAGTACATTCTGCCACAGTTACTGTCTAATCCAATTAATAAAACTGAACTTACAGTGATAAAACTGTGCTGACAGTGAGTGGCTCAGGTTTGTAAAATGCATTTCCAGAGTTCTGTTATTGTGGAAGATTGGTCTGATTATAACTGCTGTTGCGATGGAGTGACGCTAGCGTTTGCAGCAGCCAACACAGTGGTGCGGTCTGTCAGCAGCGGGCGTCCACGTGCTCTCAACACAGGTGCTGCCTCAGCTCCGTATGCTGCTGTGTATTTTAGGAGGCTGCCACCCTAATGGGCTCTGATGGGATGATTGATGAGCGCAGCCCAGAGGAGATCAGCCACAGACACTTTATATTCCTCTGGTGGGGTTGGCGGCATAGAGCCAAGTGCCGGCTGCACCCCCACCCCCCCCCCCACCCCAACCCTCCACCCCCCCTACTTCTTTTGCCAGCAGAATGAGAAATAAAAAGTCCCCTTTAATCGCTGTCTGTGGCAGACTCACTCCCATGATTGGTGGCAGAAGCACAATAAAAATATGTAATTGTAGCAATATTATTTATCTTTATTAGAATCTTGTCAGATTGACATGCCGCTGGCCTGCATATCAATGGCAGCTGCCGTGCAGACCAAGGGGGGGGGGGGATTTGTATGAAAGCTGAATGCTAAACACTGGTGCCTGGCTATGAGCATATAGTCCTGAAATGCTTGTGAAAGTGCGTCTGACACAATCAAATTTAACACTAGAATAATGTTGTATGCTTCAAATGAAATCCTAAAATCATGATAATATGAGGAAGCGCGTGCCTCCCAACTGGGAAATTTGTAAATGTAGATGAAAAGCAAAAAATTAAAGCTGAGAGCGGATTAGATGGTTCCACTGCACCAGAAAAGAATAAGAAAATAAATAAATATTTGGATAAAAGAATAGTATTTTTACCTCGATAGGGAATTGAATACATTTCCAGTACAAACCCTTTTCATCTCATGCTTGTATGATGTAGTAGTAGTTAATTAATTTAAAGTGACATTACAACCGCTCCATGGTACACCTTAAAATTTACAGGTTAGTATTACCAGCAATGAAATCTCAACAGTCCACCGCCAGTTGGGTTCATAAAAGGTCCCATGAAGAAGTCCCATCTTACAACTACTTTCCAAATTGAGGTGGAATGTATGAAGTGAATCTGCCAAGAAACTGTCCCCATATTACCATTGCATCTATGCCATCCTTTAAATTAGCAGTTTTAGTTTTTTTGCCAATGCCCTAAAATAATACCCATAGAAGCTATAATCATAACTCCCATAATAACTGAAAATATACAGTTTCATTTATTTGTTTTTTGAGTTGTGTCCTGCAGTAGGTTTATATCTGGAGTCAAATTTACAAATTTACAAATTTTCAGATATACAATGCAAAAAAGCTCCTACTACCATTCTGTACTCCAAGCATAAATGAGCCTATATCACTTTTATCCTGTGGAGCCTTGATGGCGTGTCCAAATACCATCAACACGGTTTACCTGTTTCACGACACTGTTATACACCAGCCTCCACTTATGGGTGTCCACAGCAGAGATAATAGTTGCTGATACATAAATTACACACACACATATTTAAATTACAACTGCATTATAGTGTGTTATGAACCGTTTATTATATTTATGTGCTGCTTATAAATGCTAAATAGCGGGGTTAAAGTGTCAGAGGGATAACTAATGTAATATTTTATATCATGTAAACTTTGTAAAACCCTTTGTTTCTTTGACTATAGTAGCACACTGTTCTAGCCTGACCACCTTCCCCTTTTAATGTGTTCTCTAACTCCTGTGTCTCTCTTCTTCTTTCCCTTTCATTGCTCTTCTGTCCTCCCTCTTCTCTCTTCATGTGCCACAGGAAAGCAGCGCCCCGCGGGCCAACTGCAATAAGATGATAATGATGTTTACAGATGGCGGGGAGGATCGTGCACAAGAAATCTTTGAGAAGTACAACTGGCCCAACAAAACAGTGAGTCGGTCCCCATAAGGCCGTTATCTAGTCATCTACTCGCTCTGCCAGCCCAAGAGATCATGCATGTCCAGAAACTGTCTTAGCAGGTCCTTTTCTCTCCCCATCTCCCACCGTTTTCTGCTGACATTGTCTCATTATAGCACAGGCGGTTGTGTTAGTTAGGCTGTCAGACATGCCAAGCACTCCAATCTGTGCACATAACATCCTCTCCAAGCTTTCTTCACTTCCATTTTAGCTGTTCTGATTCAGGCGCTTTTTTCCTCTTGTGATTCATCTCTTTAGTCTTCAACTTTGTCCTCCCTTCTCTCAGTCTGTTTCTCTTTCCCTTTCTCCTCTTCTGTCTCTTTTGTTGTTTTGCTGCTGGTGTTAACAGCTCTGACCTGCTGACTAATTAGCCACTTTATCATCAGAGCCTATGAAAATTACAGCCAATAGATAGTGAGTTTGTGTCTTTGTTCCTGTCTTGTTGTCACTCCCCCCCTCCTTTACCCCATTTCACAGCTCCACCAATATTTATTCTGATATCCATTACTATCGAGTTCCCTCTTGACGGCTGCTGTCATACAGGAATAATCTGCAGTTTGACAACTCTCTCACTGCAGTCTTGCGTTGGAGACAGTTGTGTGAGTTGACTGGGAGGCTAATCTAAACATAGTATAGATTTGTGCATCGTAGTTGTCACATGACGGTGAACTTATTGCCGTCCAGAAGTAGGTGTGTGGGGTGTAGTTTTGCTCTAGTAGCTGTCTCTGCAGGATCTTTGGTTTTTGGCTGTTTTACATCTTTCTGTATTATTCTTGCATTTCCTTCAAATGATTTGTTTCCTTTGTCCTCTCTGTCTCTTTGCATTTGTCGTTTTCTCCGTCCAGGTTCGTGTGTTCACCTTCTCTGTTGGCCAACATAATTATGATGTCACACCTTTGCAGTGGATAGCATGTGCCAATAAAGGTAAGTGGACAAGAGGTCTCCATGTTTACATGAACAACATGACACCTTTCAGTGATGCCACAAAATGATGATTAATAAGTAAATTTCAATTTACTGTACACTATGTAGAGTAAAACACTGCATGTCTGTTAGATAGGGAGCGGTGAGCGAAAAAGGGAGGGACTTGGAAATAGCTCCACTCTTGTAATTGTTAAGTAGGAAATTTAAAGCCTAATCAATCTTTAAAAAAAAAGAACTAAAGATTACTATTTTACATTTGATTTTTATGAGAACACTTTTGCCAAGACCAAGAGTACACAACAGTGCAGGTTTGGTCTTCTTATTGCTTTGGAGAGCATGATGTTGACCTTTTTAGGACCCTTTTCATAACCATAAATAGTAAATAAATAAATAAATCTATCAGTTGTATGTAAAGACGTACTCCAAGACTGTGACATCACTGTTTGTTGGGTGTGGTTACACATAGAGCAAAGCCCAATTCTGGTCACATCCAGGTCAGCAGGCTTGAAACTTCTTAGCAGAAAATAAGTGAAATAAATTGAAGTATTTAAACCGGCCTGCACCATTACAAACCCATCATCACTAAGATTTATCCAGGTGTCTGTCTTACTGCACGTGATGCTCAAATCAATATTATATTCATCTAAAGCTGCTAAAGTCCCTAAAATAACCCGACAAGCAGGCAGCCCTGCCTCTGACCGACAGTCTGACAACCCATATGACTCAGCGGCTCTTCCTGTTAGCAACATTGTCTCAGTGAATCTCATCTTGACTCAGCTCATTTTGGCACAACCTAACTCCGAATGTTGTTGCTGTGCTCAGTTTTGAGCACTGTTTTTTTTTTTTTTTTTTAAAGCATAACCCACTTCCCTTCGTCTCTGTTGTGGTTTGATTTAATATAGTTTCTCTGTGTTGCCGTTTATCTGAAGCTGCTCCTTTATGAGGCCTTTAGCTGTCTGTATGAAGCCTCGGCTAACTGCTGCTGCTGATTAGCTTATTGCCACTGGAGCCAAGTGCTTCAGAAGTATCTCCCCAGAAGTTGTTATTAATTAGCAGGAGGAGTCTGGTAGCAGGATGATTACCGTGCCATCTCCCTGTCAGGCTGGGGAAAGTCCAGGATTACGCCTCTGTGCCAACATGCTCTCTGCCGCTCGCGACTGTAGTGATTACCATGGTACTAAAGTCTATGCCAACATAAGACAATAGTGTTGACACACCAGCCTCAATGGAGCTGTCCTCTCATATCTCCAGTACTTATTACTCTTTGGTATCTCACTCCAACAGAACCAGCTCCCTGACACTTCCACAGGCCCTAACCCTTCACCCATGACACACAAACACACATACACGCAAACACACACACAGAAGCACAAACACCCACAACTAGGCCACTTGGAGATGTAGTCTCACTTGAGCTGCGAGCCTATCTTAAGAAGAAAGTAACCTCACTTTGACTCTGAGGACAATGAAGCCATTTATCCATGCTCTCAAACAGTATAACAAAATCCAAAACAGAAAAGAGAGTTATCCTCAAAAAAAAAAAAAGGTGAAATTGAGGATACAAAAGCAGCAAATGTGATCTACCGCATTGTTGATCCTAATACCTCCATAAAAGTGGTGCTTTTAATCCAAAACTGGGAATAAAATGTGGCATAAATTCAGGATGACCATCCACAATAAAAGTAAAATACTAAAACATATCAGTTACAGCATGAAATTAGTTACACAACTTTATTAGGTACACTTATGACCGTTTAAAGCTTGTATCAACCAAGACAAGAAAACTGAATATGAACAGAAAGTAGTGCATGCTGGTCTACATAAGAGAAAAGGGCATACTCATACTCGACACAGTGTGACTATATTACACTTGACCAACATAACAATTACTTTATGCAGAAAGCACTAAAGCACAGTTTAGATCTTATCCACATCTACTTAAAAAGCTTGACATAATCAATATTGTCAAACTCAACTCATACTATATATGTACATATATATATATATATGCTATATCATTTATACCCCAGTTAGTTGGACCACACCAAATATCCAGGGGAGTTTTCTCTGGACACACATGACTTCAAAAATCAGGTGATGATGTTTGAGGAAAACCAAAAACAGTGCTAAGCCATTATGTAAATGAGAGTCAAAAAGACAACTTGTTGTCGATTACAATCATAATTGCCCCTCACGCAGCAGATCACTGTCGTTAACGTGCACAGCACAGGCACATTCTTACTCTTTAGTTACTGCCTGTATTTTCGTCTCTTCACCTCTCGCTGAGCTCTGCCCTACAACCACAGATGCCACCTCTCGGGCACACAGCCAAAAGCACTGGGACGAACTGCTGCTCTCAAGAAAACTATAACAAATAGCTGCACCCTGCGACTGCGTGTGCAGAGATGTGTATGCCTGTGCACGTGTGCATACAATGTCTGCACGCTCCCATGTGCAAGTGAATGAGACAGAGGAGCCAAATCTCGACACAGACCACTGTGGCAAAGTGTATAATGCATCAAAATAATGAGAGTCATCTCTGCCTTTTAACATTCAGGGGATGCTGTCTCCATTTCACGGCTCTTTGTATAAACACTCATGGCTTTAATAACTTGGGGAGCGGCGTGGTTATTGACCCAGTCGGTCACTCTCCTCCATTCCTAATCAGCAGCAGCAGAGCCTGGGGCTCAGCAGTCCCAAGGAGCCTCCACATTTACATCCTACAGAACAACCATGAGTGTGGAGAGGTCAATGGCCACAAGCTCTACCGTGCCTGTCTGGCTGAACATCATCGGCTGGAAATGATGGTGTTACATGTACCTAATAACGCTGAAGAGATTAGACTGCAATCTACAAATAGATCACTTTTGTACACACTGTGAATGTTTTAACTCTTGAAAATTTAAAGCTCTGAGACAGAACATGACGCAGGCATGCACCACGAAGCAGAGTGGACACAAGCTTTCTGCTGGAATACTGTATCGATTCTCTTCTCTTAATCTTCAGGTTACTACTTTGAAATTCCATCGATTGGAGCCATCAGAATCAACACCCAGGTAAGATATAGAGAGTGTGTACATGCGTCTGAATACACCTTTATGAATCCACAAAAACGTCAATTTCAAGCAAGAAGCTAGTCCATTCTTCCCTCTTTCTTCATGCTTGCTTTGATGTTAATTACACAGATTGTAGATATCTTTGAGTATACCATAACAAAGGGACAGAAGACCTGCATAGCTGGATGACTAAAGAAACGAGGGGACAGAGGTGGAGATGGAGTGATAACAAACATGGTTGTGGTCTTTCTGCGAGAATGTTTTTTGGAAGCTCTGATCTAAAGACTATCAGATCTCTTTTTCTCTTGCTGTCTCTCTTTCTCTGTCATTCCCTCTCTCTGTCTGTCAGACACACACACCTCTGGTTCATCGCACACCCAGGGCCCTTCCACCCCCATCGCACTCGCTTGAGGCACTATGAGCTTTTAGAGGCCCTTGGGATAACCTCATTCCAGCTGTAGAAATTGACTCAGTTGCTGGGAGGTGGGGGAGCTACTGCACAAGCACCACCCCACCCCCCACACCCCCACACCCCCACACACCCCCCCACAGCCCCGGTGAGCGATCAGGCCCCAGAATAGACTGTCAGCTGTTCCATTAACTCTGGCATATTTATATTCGGAGGACTGCCACTTACTCTAATAGGTTTTCTGAAAGTGGGTGACTACAGCTCTCTGTATAGGCCCAGAAGACACATTGGGGCCTTATGTTATTTAACCATACTCTGCCCTTCAACATCACACACTCATCACATAGTCTCACTTGACTGAAATGACAACATTCCAATAACAGATGGACTACAGATGGCAAAAAAAATATTATAATTCATATTATCCTGAGTCATACAATTATGTGGGACGAGTGGAATAGTTTTGAAAATAAGTGAAACTATATTTTGTGTTTCCTCAAGGTTACCTGTGACTGAATTTTATTTTTTGTGACTTATTTCATCCACTCTGGTTTCTTTGTATAGCGTCTCAGTGGAGCAACAATAACAGGCCAGGCATTAGATAGGATGTTTTGCCTTTACGGGGAACGTACTGATGAGTTTACTTTCTGCAGTAATGGTTGTTACAATACCCAGGGAGACAATAGCATTTAATCAACGCGCAGGGAGGCTGCTGGAGTCTATATGGCTCTGTCTCCTTTTGGACCACACATCTGCCGTTGCTGACTTTTTATGTTTCCTAGATTGTTCTAGCCAGGCGGAAAATTTCCCCTATATCCCGTGAAAAGGTCTGGCTGTCATTGTCCTGATGGAATATCTCCCTGTGGCGCGTTAAACCGGACTTTTATTGAGCTAATAATAGAATAGGTTACGCCTGTCAGCACCTCACTGTTCCGGCGATGAAAAACAAACGGTTGAAAGCGTAATACTGAAATCGCCGTGCGCTTATACAGGGCGCCCCTTTTGTATATTGAGGATAGATACACAAAGGGTGGTGTCAAGGGTCAGAAATCTGCAACAACATATCCCTTTTCACTACAAAATGTACGCCACCATGTAAGAACCGCTAATGTTTTATAAAATGAAATTGTGACCCTGGGAGTGCTCCTGCTTTTTTGATTGCTCAGTTTTTATGTTTGAATATATTGTGTTCATACATAAATATATACATTTGGTGTTATAACTCATTTGACTGTTGAAAGAATATTGTTGGCAGAAGTATACACAGTCAGTTTAGTTAGAGAACAATTTTTCTGTCTGTGGTCGTTCTAACAACAAGACACTAAAAACATAATGCATCCTGTTCCTGTTCCTGCTCCTGTCCACCCCACCCCCCCAAAGTGTGCGGTTGCTTCGTGTATCATGAGGTCACACGCTCAATAATTTTACCAATTACACACCGTCTCCAAAATGACATGGATCAATAGGTTGTTTACAAAAAGACATCTCAGCTTTTGTATGCTGTTGCTCCTCACAACAAAAGAATAAAGTGAATATGATGTATTACTAGTAGACTTAACCCCTCACCTCTATTCACAATCACTGTGGGACATTCTCACAGTGCCAGCGTTGACAGCAGAGCCTCCGGGAGAAAAGGCCTGTTTGCACGTCGTGCCATTGACACCCTTAATGTGTTTTTAATAGCTCCTTCATAATGATGAAAAACAGCCTTGAGTGGATCAGGACTGGAGGCTTTATGGCTCGGCAGGGCCGGGATGCTGCTGGCGGCCCACTGGTTTATGTGGTGACAGAGAGGAGGCTGGTCAGGGTCTTATAGTTTTATGACACGTGAACATTGGGTGGCTCTTCCAGCTCTCTGCTTTTTATGACTGTACATGACAAGCACTGTAAACGTCTGTTTGATCATGAGGGTTTATTTTGTGTCATCACACGAGTGTGTGTGTGTTTTTGCTGTTGCAGGAATACCTGGATGTCCTGGGCCGTCCCATGGTGCTGGCTGGGCCTAGAGCAAAGCAGGTGCAGTGGACAAACGTCTACCAGGACGCACTGGTGAGAGAACTTACAAAGACAGAACATTTTTATTTGATCAATCATTAAAGTAACCTATGTACGATTCCGCAAATCTTTCTTCTGCAAACTAATGCAACTTTCACTCCCTCTGCTGCTTTTGTTTGTAAATGATATTTGGGCAAAGTCGTGTCATGAACTATTCAATCTTATATCATTGTATTTTGTTTGTTGGTTTTTAGTGAATTTAAGTTTCAGTTGATTTATTTGTTTGTGTTTATTGGTTTTGATTTTTAATCATGCAATATGTTGCAGTGTTTTAAGACATGGGATTAATTGGATCAATTGGATGTCTGATATGTTTATTAGGGTTTGGGCCTTGTCATCACTGGGACAATGCCAGTCTTCAACCTCACTGCAGATACTGTGAGCTCTCAGGTAAAAACAAACACTTAAACACTTCAAATAGCCACACTTTTACAAACAAGCAAACAATATGACTTATACCCCAGCTCATGCATTAATAAGCCTTTATTATTATTATTAGATAGATAGATAGATAGATAGATAGATAGATAGATAGATAGATAGATAGATAGATAGATAGATAGATAGAGAGATAGATAGATAGATAGATATTTTATTTATCCCCTAGGGGAAATTCATGTAATATTAATATTATATAAGAACAATGTTTTCTCTGTCCTTCTGGTGGTTAAGTCTACACATGTATGAGGTTATTCAAACAGAGACGTGCGCTGCAGTGGCAGGGAGGTTCAGCTTTTATGTTGCATCTGTTTGGTGTTGTTGACCGTCATCAGTCATTTGTAATGGCAGCCACGCAGATGCTGCTCTTCTAGGCAACACCTCCCCCCTGAGGTGACAGCAGACATCACAACCACCCATCTGTAGTATCTACTATCATCCGGAGAGCACAGATGCATCCAGCCTCCAGTATCCATGACCAAAGTATTTACTCTGAGCTTATCACACAGGCTTAAAGCAGTGACGCTGCTGCAAAGCGACTCAGTTTAAGATAGACTGTGAAAATATGGACTAATCAGATTGCACACAAAGTGATGATAAGTCAAAAGATGGCACAGAGATGTTCTTAGCAGTCTCACAGCACAGCTACCAGCTCTGTGTGATTTTCTGATGTCAGTAGGGGTTGTGTATAAAATGCTAATAATTGCTTTATGTGTTTTTTCATATAGAACCAGCTCATCCTGGGAGTTATGGGAGTAGATATTGCAATCAACGAAATCAAAAGGAAGACTCCTACGTACAGAGTGAGCATGCTGTTCATTCACTATCACCCTCATATCACTTTCATGATGACGTTGATGATTATCGAATCTTCATTTACCTTTTCTCTGTGCAGCTTGGAGCCAATGGTTACACTTTCGCCATCGATCCAAATGGCTACGTACTGCTGCATCCCAACCTGCGACCTAAGGTTGGTCTGACTGTTAACCCAACTCTCTGTATAATGAGCCTGCTGCTTCTGATTCTGAAGATAACGTCAGATGTTATTCCTCCTGACTGATATGAGCCTCCCTCTCCATCTTCCCCTGTTTTTTTCTCTTTCTGTTCAGATCATTAACTTTAGGGAGCCCGTCACTCTGGACTTTCTGGACGCAGAGCTGGAGGACAGCAACAAGGAGGAGGTAAGTCAACATCTTTGAAACATCATTATTAGGGAAAACTTGCGTATTTCATGTATGTGTCATTCAGTCTTTATATTTTTTCACTTGTTTTTACTTTTCTGTTTTTGTACGTATTTGTACACTGTCTCACGCTGCAGCATCTCTCTCTCTCTCTCTCTCTCTCTCTCTCCCTCTCTCTCTCTCTCTGTTTCTCGCTTTTCAGATCCGCCGACAGATGATTGATGGCAAATCAGGGCAAAGGAAAATCAAGACGCTCATTAAGTCAGTTGATGAGGCAAGTCATCAATATATGAGATTCAATCATGATCCAAAGTAGCACCTTCCTGTAATGAATCTGAATCAGTCAGTATGTTCAGGATCTGTTGTTTCCCTCCAATGATTGGGAAGAGACATGTGCCGAGGTTGTGACAGTGTTACTCACCAGAGTCTCTTTGTTGTTGCCAACAGAGGTACATCGATGAGGCCATGCGGACATACACATGGACGCCTGTGGATGGTACAGATTACAGGTAGGTTACAAATCAGACTTCGTCACCTGACCTCAGACACAAAAGATTGTGCAACTTGAACCAGTGAGTGAAGTCCAACTTTGATACTTTTTATTCGTCCATTTTGAGCCACAAGTGTCAGATTTACAGTTGACAGCTGTTGCTCATCAACCAGCAGTGTTTGTTAACTGTAGCTGTCACTATCATGCATTTAGAAGACACTAAACCTATCACTGAATAAATGCAGCTTGCTCATTTGCATGACAAAATTCATCTGACTCGCCCACATTAAAGAACAGTTTTTCTTCTCTCATAAAAATCCTCAACAGTACTCTAAGCACAAATTAATTGTGTAGTTTATTCATCTCAAAACTTGGTTTAACATTTGAGGTTGCATCATAATGACATTTCCTCCAGGCAACACTTGGCAAATTACAGTTTATGATATTCAATAGTCCTACAAATGCCTGGTGTGTGTTTTCTTTATTACATCTGCTGGCAGCGTGCCTGGTCCTGGCTGAGTCCATATGAGGCTTTCTCTGCACAGTTCTATTAATATTCAACTCAAAGGGAACTTCCAGCATATTTAAGAATCCATATGTCACTGTCGTGGCCTGCAACAGTCAAATGTTACCCTAGCCAGACATTCAAAGCTCTGCACTCTTATTTGTCCTTTACCTTAGAGTTCAGGGCAGTACATTTTTCTTGTAAGATTTGTGACATCTTACAAGAACATTCGATGTTTATTTAAATCTAAATTAGCCTTATATTAAAGATAGTCAACTGTGGCTCAGGCAGAACCTGATACTGTCACAGCCTGATTTTGTGTCTGTTCCAATTAATCCCCTTACCGAGTTATATTTTAGCTTTGCATAGTTCCACAGATTAAGAGATGGGACATGTATTTCCATTTTTTCTCTCTTTAATTTCTGGCTTTGGTGGAAGAGTAAATATTTAGTAACATTTAGCATATGTAGATCAAATGCAGATCTTAGGCTATGTTGATGGCATATTACAAAGCAAAACTGCCATTCCTAGTTCAGCACCAGACAGCAGAGAAACAAAGGTAGTGACTAGCTGGTAAAAATTTGGAGTGTCATCAGCTGAGCCAGACATTTCCCTCAGGAGATGATGGAGACTAAACAACAGATACTTGATCCTGCAGATATAAACATTGCTCTGCATCACCACTAGTGGTCATTAACTCCACCGGGTACCTTCAAGAGTAGAGAGCTGCCCTCTCTGCTTGAAAGGTGGTCGGGTGGTTGGTTGTGGTCAGAGGTGTGCTTTGTTGCACCTGTAACCACAGTGATGTCACAGTGTCCTGGAGTACACTTCTACATCACTGCAGCAAGGTGAGGTTAGACCACTGGAGGTCAGAAATAACAATAAGATGGTGGGAGATTTGCTTCAAAAGGAAATATGTCACATTAAATAGTGATTAGATCATAGTCTGGCTGCTGTGTGTGTGTGTGTGTGTGTGTGTGTGTGTGTGTGTGTGTGTGTATTTGAGTGTTTACATGTGCATTCAACACGTATTCCTGATTTTCTGCATCTGCCTCATTACCTCAGTCTAGGGTTGGTACTGCCCACATATAGTGAGAACCACATCAAGGCCAACCTGAGTGACCAGATCCTTCAGGTGCAGTGTAAGTACCCGCGAATACCCAGCATCCCTTGCTCTCTGTCTCTCTCTTTTTTGCTCTCTCTCTGTCCGCTCTCTCCTCCTCTCTCTCTGTCCCAAATATGACGTTACACTTTTATTCAGTCCTTCGTCCTGGGTCTCCAACATCATCGTAGGGAGCGTCTTAGCGGAGTCACCTGCTCCGCCCCGCCCCCCTCCCTCCCCCCCTCCTATCCCCCGTCCCTTCTCCCCCCTTTCTACGCTCTCTGATAGGCAGGATCATACCTGAGTCCCTCCCCCCTACTGCCTCCTCTACTGCCCCCTGTTCCCTCCTGTCTTCATGCTGTGCTGTAAAATGGTGATGTTTTTTCTTCACACTGGCTGAAGAAAAAAATAACTGAACTGACAGAAAGGTGAAAGCTGTGGTTTTACTGTGTTACTCAGGTGAAAATAATGGTGACCTTTGTGCTATTATTTTTTTTGCCAAATGCTCTCGCCTCTTCTCCACCAAGTAATGATTCTGAAGCGTCTGTGTTCAAAGTATTTGATGTTCTGAAAAACTGTGAAAACATGCATGCTTTTCACTCCTTATGATGAGTTTTATGATTTTGGGAATCTTCCTTCTGTTATGTGTGTGATTTTTATTTATTTACTCTTTCAGTTGGATTGTGTGCGATGTTTCTCAGCTTTGGAATCATTCAGTAGATAAACTCCCACACGGCCCGGGATAAGGGCTTGTCAAATGTGGGAGTTTGGGTTTTTGTGGGTCTGAATGGGGACACATGTTGTCTCTCTCATTCTTTCTTTGTCCAGACCCTGTTACTCCCCTCTTTTCCTAGTTCATTTGATTTCTTTTTTGTTTCTCCATGATTATCTCTCACAATTACTGGTTTTGTCTTTACTGTTTTCCTTTCCTGGATCTCCCAGTTTTTTCTTTCTTCTGTTGGTTTTCCGTTTGCTCTTGCAAATAAGATGTTTGCTCTTCATTTCTTTTTCTCTCTTGTCTTGTTTGACTTAAATTGGTTTCTTTCTTTCAAGAAAAACAATATTTTTATTCAAACAGTAATTGAATAAAATATTGTCTGTGATCCCCCCCTTCCCACCCGATCCCCTGTTTCTTTTCTTGCTCACTCCTTCTCTGATGGATCCACACAGTGCCATACACCAAGGGCAAGTATATTCCATATTGGTCCACGTTCCCTACCTTTACTTCCTACTCCTTACCGCTGCCTCCTCCTTCCCACACCTCTCGTCCTGAACCTTTTCCTGCTGCCCTCCCTCCTACCCTCACCTGTCCCCGCCTGCTTGCCCCCCCTCCCCCTCCTCTTCCTTCTTTTATCCCTCCTCCTCTTCCTCTTCACCCTCTTGCTGCAGCTCAGATCCCACATCTCTCACGATGGCTCCTCCAGTCCCTCAACCTCACCCTCCTCCCCACGTATCTGCTGCTCCAGAAGCAAAAAAAAAAAAAAAAAGAAAAAAAAGAAAGAAAAAAAACGCCTCCTGCACCCAAGGAAGACAGATATTCATGTTCTCTGTTAAATTTGTCTTTTGTCCGCCCCTCCTCCTAATCCTTTTCCTTCTGTGGATAGCTCCAAATGGGTTTTGTCTGCCTTCTGTCTCCCTCTTTCTCTCAGTCTCTTTCTTTCACTTTCCTCTCATGTTGACCATATTTCTCTCTTTTTCTCTCCTTCTTTTTCTCTCTTTCTGTACCATCGATTCTCTTTCACTCTTGTCTGTCTCTCTCTTTCTGTCTTTTTCTTACAGCGTCATTAGTTCATAAATGTCTTAACTAATTCTTGCACTAGAGCTCAGGTATTGACAGAACAACTCTAGTTAGTGAAAAGCCAGATCAGATTTGAGCATTTTCAGCTTTACATACAGTGAAAGATTTCTAATTGTTTGCTTTAACAATTATATAATGTAGGAAGGTACACACACTAATCTCTCATTTTCTAGTGCCACACTAGCTTTAATAACATATCAGCACATCCATATCATGGATTTACTGCTATTTACTTATAGTAAAGTAAATAAAGATTTATTGTGGTCATGATTTAATGTAACAATAGATTTATTGGTCTCTATATTTAATAAAACACTTTCTTAATGATTGTAAGCTGCCATAGTATCTCGTCCATAACTGGAGGCGTTGCAGCCTGCAGACTGACCCTACAGGGCTGAGCTGTGTCCTGCCCACCCAGGTCCTCCCATGTTGTCAGGTGTCAGGGTGCCGCTCGGCGCCTGACTCCTCTGTCGTCCCTCTGTACTCCCTGTCTCCATCAGCTTGTCTCCCTCCCCCCTCACCCCTCAGACCGTCAGGGGCATGGCACCAACACTTCCTCAGTAAACCTGACCCTGGATGTGCACGGCATTGTGGGCGGAAAACTACCTGGGCACTCTATTTTAGCTCTAAAAGTCAACATTTCACTCCTCTGCTGTACAGAGTTACAGGTCAGGACATAATGAGAAAACAGCATGTCGGATTCATCGCAGACTTACCTGTTGCGGCTTTAATGTTGGTTGATATTTTGTGTGTTTTGTCTATGATAGATGAAATGAAGTTGCCCTACGACATGCCCTTCACAATGCAATGCATTTCCTCTGATTATGTGTCTCTCTGAGCCCTCTCCCTTGCCAGTCTGAGGGGTGACCTCTTCCATCAGGACCTTCACCCACCTCCCCCTGCAATAGTTTGCCATGTTGATGCCTGCCTGATCTAAAAGCACTCATTGTGGGCAATCTGTCTGAGAACTTGCTTCCTGACACATCACGTCTGGTCAAGTCAGTTCTCAGACATCCAAAATATGTTAGATTAAAACCAAATGAATCTGAAATTGTTTGTTGACAAAGTGAAAAAAAAAACAAAAAAACAAAGGTGTGAGTGCTTGTGAAAAAAATACAGTGGTCCATTGAGAGTCAGGTTCCATTTTAGGCACCATATTGGCTAACGCTAGTGTTCCCATGATACCTCAGTGTTGCTATGGTAAACTCCCTTCTGCGTCCCTGCACCTCTGAAGAACAGCTGCTGTTTACCCACAACTCCCCACTCCTCTGCCCACTGCTCTTCCCGGATAATCTTCCCCTTTCTGTTGCAGATTTTGAATCACTGCTGCCAAACAGTTTTGAGTCTGAAGGACATGTATTCATTGCTCCCAGGTAGCCCTGTGTGTGAATGCTTGCTGTCATTGATGGTCATCAGTTTTTGGTCTTGTCTTCACATCTTTTGATGCACAATATACCTTTTTTGTTTTCTTATTTGTTCGGTCCCCGCTCCACACTCAGCATCTTATATCTATCATCTGCTTTCTTGAATTATGTTGATTGTGTGGTGTTGAGTTGCACTGTGTGCAAGTTGTTGGTTTCATTCATTGTTTATCATTTTGGAGTGGTGTGTTTATTTACTGTGAGTAATTCTAATGAACATTTGTACAAGAAAAAATATAAAATTCATCATAGCCTTATGATTATTTATTATTATTAATTTTACTTTCACCCACTCTCTCCCCTCATTACAGTAAAGTACCAAAGACACATACATTCTGCTTTGCCTGCTGCTACTGTGGTGCTGCATGTTTGTATTACACAAATATTTTTAAGGATTATTGGTTTGGTTGTACAATGTAATGTTAAAAATAAAATGGATATTGGACAGCAAAATGTGTAACTAGAAAAAAAAAAGACTGAAATCCTCTTTGCATGTACTGTGTTGTTATCAAAGCCTCATATCCTCCAGCAGCAACCTGGATTCTGAAACACACTGATAAAAATCTCTTCTTCATTGTGCTGTCTGTTCTCTGCTCTGCAGTCCAATCCACGTTTTGTTTTGACAGACAGGTGTTTTTGCTTATTTGAATTTGAGCTTTACGACATGCATGCTGCACATGATAGCATCAAGTAACCTGTGTATGGTTTGACACTTCTCCACTTGTGTTGTGTTTCCCTTTATAGAGGCCAAATGAGGCAGGCAGAGTGTAAATGGCGTGTACGTTTGTTTTTACCTTTATCTGAGTTTAAATGCCTTGTCTGTTCCTCAGGGAGTACTGCAATGACCTGGAACTGTCTTACAACAACACTGAGTTCCTGCTCAATTTTATTGCTCTCATGGAGAAGGTGACACCAGACTCTAAACAATGTGAGTTTATTTCTCTTCACCCACACAAATTAGAGCATTTAGGATTGACTTTAAAGAAGGTATTTGAAAGTTTTGCTATTGCCACATAGCCAGCGTTAGCATCAACAGCTGTTTACTTACCAGTCTTGTCAAGAGCTGCAGCTGTCCTTGCATTTACAAGACAAGAGGTTATAATACACCCTGTGAGCAGCGCCGCCTCTTCAGAACAGACTGGACGCTACAGTGACTCGGTATCAGAAAGTGACAAAATGGGTCGGCCGCCCAGTTAAATAAATGGTTGGCAATGTTCTATATTTTTCTTATTGACAACAAATCCCATAAAAAAATTAATATTTTGAATCAGTCCCACATTCACCATCCAGCTGCCATAAATACTCGCCAGGGCACTGAAAAGCGTATTAATCCACAGCTGCAGATAGTCCCTAATAAATTCACTATTTACTCCTGCTTGAGTAACACTTACTGAAAAGAGATATCTACATCTGAATGTGGATATGACTTATGTTCTGTGCAAGTCTCTGATATTCTGTTAATATTTAGGTGACAATTTGCTCCTTCATAACCTGATTCTGGACACTGGCATCATCAGGCAGCTGGTTGAGAAAGTGTGGAAAAATAAAGACTTGAATACGTGAGTATCAGCTAGCACTTGGGGAGGTACATATTTTAGATTTGGACTGTGGATGAGATTTAGATTTTGAAACCTCTTTCTGTCTCTTCTCTGCATCCTGACATTTAGATATGGCTTTCTAGCCGTGTTTGCTGCGACAGATGGAGGTATAACAAGAGTGTTTCCAAACAAGTAAGCGCAATCCACATCAAGGCTGTGTGTCTGGACTGCAGTCGCTCTGTAGTACTGTTATGTTTCTAACTTTGTTCTGTTTTTTTTTTTTGTTTTTTGTTTTTTTTGAAGTACCAAGTTGGGAAGACATGAAATCTTTCATAAACACATGGGGTAGCAGGAAGCTTGTACATTACAGATTCACAGCTCCAGTGTCTGTGGTTTTAAATCTCAGGGCTGCAGAAACATGGGAGGAAGACCCTGAGCCATTTAATGCCAGCTATTACCGCCGCAGTCTCGACAACAAGGGCTACATCTTCCGAGCGCCTTATCGAACAGGTGAATGATGCTCATGGGTTATGTATCTCACACAGAGACTCACAATGTTGTGGCTCTTTGTTTCTAACCCCCCACCCCACCCCACCACCTTCCCGGGTTTGTTTCTGTATTTTTTTTTCCCTCCTTCAGCCAGGGACGAATTGCTGAACCCAGAAAATGACACCATAGGCATCCTGGTCAGCACGGCTGTGGAGATCACAATAGGAGGAAAGACCATCAAACCTGCAGGTGGGCTCACCTCTGAAAATGATAGATGTTGAAGAAAATGTTTCAGAGCAAGGCGAAGATAATTACACGTCTGTGTTTTTATTTCTTGTCACTTTGTGTGGACATGTTTGTGCTCTGCGTCTATTTATTCTGCCTTTGTGTGCATCTGTCTTTTTTTTTTTCAATTGATTATTGTAATTAATCTCTTTTCTTTCTCTCAGTGGTTGGAGTGAAACTAGATCTTGAAGCCTGGACGGATAAGTTCAAGATTCTTGCCACCAACCACACAGACAATCGTCAAGGCTCAAATACGGTAACATATTGAAATACACATAAAAAGTACAGTGTTTACACTAAGATGTGCAAATGGTGACTTGGTTTTTCGCTCTGGCAGTGTGGACCAAACAGGGAGTGTGAAATGGACTGTGAAGCCAACAGTGATGTAAGTATTTCTGCATATTTTTAATGAGCTTCCTATCAAATGTATGAAAACCGTACATTAATTCCCCTGTTCTTCCAGTTAACAGCCCATTTTTTACCTCTGTGTACAGGATCTCCTGTGTTATTTAATAGACGATGGTGGATTCCTGATCATGTCCAATCAGAAGGATGACTGGAACAAGGTCGAGCTGATAAATTAATTTTCACGCTCACCACTGTTTCTCCCTAATCTTTACACCGAGCTTGAACAGTGTCCTTTATCCTCTACAGGTGGGAATGTTCTTCAGTGATGTTGATCCGTACTTGATGTACGCTCTCTACAACAATTCCTTCTACAACCGCAAGCAGTCATTTGACTACCAGTCTGTGTGTGAACGGGTGCCCAACAGTGAAGCTGGAGCTGCGCCCAGAGGAGTGTTTGTGGTAAGAACATAAAGTTAGCACTTGAAAGAACAAGCTGCAGTAAATGAAGGGGACAGGCTAGAGGAAAATATGCTGAATTAAATGTTGGACATTTAGAGAGACTGTTGGGTGTTTGATTGAAATATGCATGTATTGCTCGTACATTTTTTTTTCACATTTCCTCTGTGTCTGCAGCCTACAATTGCCGATTTTGTAAACCTGGCATGGTGGACATCAGCAGCTGCATGGTAAGATTTATTTACCTGAAGATAAAAGATTTAATTGATACTCCCAGTACTGGGCTTCTCCCCAAATCCAGAGAGTCGACTCACTCATCTTTCCTGTAGATATGAGAAATACATTATTCATGGCCTCTGCTCAGATAAAGCTCAGACCCAGCACCTGCACCCACATTAAAGTGCCATAATACCTGTAAGACTCCTGTTTCAATGCCTTTGTTCGTCATCTGTGACCATGTGAAAACATCAGATTTTCACATAGAGAAATTAAATGTGTGCTTCCCAGTCATAGTTCAGTTATAAGATTCTAGCTAGGGTTGTAACCGGCGTCTGGTGGTTTAGTCAACTTGGCTGCATTCAGCACCGGAGTTGAGAGAGTCAGTTAAGCAAACGAGTTGTGCTGCAGTTCTTGTTCCATCACAGTTAGACTGTGATTGGAAAAAGTCTAGAGCCTCTATTACCTGGCTGCATTTCTACATTTTTATTCACATCTCTTGTCTCCACAGGTCCTTGTTCCAACAGTTTATCTATGGACTGGCTTATCATAGTTGGTTCGTCACAGGTGGGTGCAACAGGATATTAAATTACTGGACGTTCAGTGTTTTGCATGTTTTTGTTGTCAGTTACACTTTTCCGTATCGTCAAGCTTTGCAGTCATTTGACAAAAAGCCTTTGTGTTCTAAAATAGTCAGTTTTGGTGAGATTTATTTTAACAAGTGTGAAATAATTTGAATGTAATTCTGAAACAGTGCACAAACTGTGAATGTAAACTATGTAAAGAAATGGTGAAGTAGTGGGTTACAGCTTTTTTTCAGGCTAAGTATAGACATACATAATTGTACATCATTTGTAGAATGAGATGTTATATAAATCAATTTTGAGATTACTCACATTCTCTGGTGATGCTGCAGATGAGGTGGATGCAGATGGAATCGATTCCAAAGAGCGGAGTTGTGTAATGATCCAGACCCAGTTCTACTTAAGTAATCTCAGCAGCTCCTACTACATACTGCAAGACTGTGGCAACTGCTCCAGGTCTGTACGCATGTAAAAACGCACACACACACAAACACACACACACACACACATACACACACACACCATAAAGAACTGTGCTGTGACAGAAACAGTTAGAAAGACAGATCTTTCCATTGGAGCTAATAAACTCTGCTGATGATTAAACCATATCAGCTTTAATGGAACGGTCATATCATTGGCTAAATGAGCCTCATAAGACTGTCTCATGAATCTCACTGATCCATTAGTAAATGAGTCTATGATGTAAGCAAGCAGAGGTGGGGGGGGCTATTGTTGACAGAGTTGTGTCTCTCTGCAGGCTGATTCATGCCAAGAGGATAAACAACACCAACTTACTGTTTGTGGTGGCAGAGAAGATGCCATGCAACACCTGCGAGATAGAGAAGCTGTCCCAGGAGGAGGAGGAGTGTATCCTTTTTCACATTGTTCACCAGCTGGCAGAGAAGAAGACACACTCTCTAATCGCTAGATTTTATCTCCTTATTACCATACCTGCGGAAACACAGACGTTTCACATTCATTTCAAGGTTATTTTTATCACGATGGTGTGAATTATGACCAGTCATTTACATCTGTAGGCCTGCATGAGGGAATCAGTGTGTGGGCGAATGATGAGATGCTGCAGAAAAGAAAAAGAATAAAAAAAAGAAAATCCAAAAAGGATTTAAAATTTTTTTCTTAAGTGAGTCAATCTCCAGTCAAGGAGGAAAATCCATGTGAAGAAATGACTGTGGCACGTTATCGAAAAGGACCGTCTACCTGCTTTGACATGAACATCGCCGTAAGACTTTCAGACACGACATCAATAAGCACAAATAAGAACAAACAGCAATGTCATTATGTAAATGCAAACAGGCAGTTTTATGGATTTTCAGGAGAATCTTATTGAGAGGACATGATCTTATAGTCTTATAGTGTCATTGTTTTATGTCTCCTGTGCAAATTAATGATTCTGAGCAAGCTGGTTAGGTCAGGGAAATACACTTTTTTGCTTTCTTGTTGAGAGTTAAATGCCTGTTTTAGATCTAGATGTTTTTGTGCCAATTAAACAAACAAGATACAGTGTGTTAATTAGTGAGCTTTATTTGAGAATTTTTAATACCTTTGTGCAGAGCAGGGTTAACTGTTTCTCCCTGTTTCCAGTCCGTCTGCGAAGCTAAGCTAACCGGTTGATGGCACTAGCTTCATATGCACACACATGAGAGTGGTGTATTATCAATCTTGTCTTTTAACTATTGGCAAGAAAGTGAATGGGTGTATTTCCCAAAATGCCAAACTATTCTTTGAATAATCTAAAACTTGCATTTAAACTAAAACTTGTTTGAGGGAGTGTGTCCAGCTTCCTATTGGCAGTTTTTTTGCATTTCTAGCATGACGACAGAAACAGAATGAAACAAAATATTTAATAGGCTAAATGGTTGTTAGTCACACACATTAGTCAGATGATAGAAGTAACCAAGCATAAGGAATAAATATCAGACTGTTTTCCACAGTATTTAAAATTACAGCTGCATTTTTTCCTCTGCAGGAGAACACGTCGGACTGTGGGCGAGGTCACTCTTTCCGTCCGTCTCTCTACACTTTACTGCTCATCCAGCTGCTTCTGCTTTATCCGGCTGTCAGCCCCCACATTCACTCCCTACTACATTAATTACATTTTCCTCCACTTATTCTCCTTTTAGCCCTCCCAAGCTTCTTCCCCGTCCTGAAACCCTCTGCCGCTGCCTCCCCACCTCTGTGCCCCCCCCCCCCCCCCCCCGATATAGTCATAGGTTATAATGGGACTTCCTATCACAGCAAGTCGGAAGCCCTGAGTGCCGCGCTACCCAGCTTGCTTCAGTTTGTGTCGCTTAGTGACAACTGCTGGACATTTGTGTCCTCAGCCAATTAACCTTCATCTGCAGGAGGAGTAGGTGGTGCTGGACCACCTGGATCATCAGAGACAACGTCTGAAAAGAAAACAAAGGGCCCCCCCCCCACTCCACAACCACCTCACCGCGTCCACCATCCAGAGAAGGGAGGGGGGACAAAAAGGGACACGTCAATGTCCTCGACACGGATCTCCCGCCTCACACACAGACTGGAGAGTTGAGGGTATCTTGTCCAGCTTCGCCTCTGTCTGTCGGACAGACGGTGGGACTTCTCCTCCTCCTTCTCTCCTCCATCTCAGAGTCTCACCGCTCTGTCACTCCACTCTCTCCTAACGGGCTGAGCACCGTTCAGCCGCAAATAGCCACCATAAAAGAAAAACAACAACAAAAATAAGAACTGTCAAGTATACAAAATGTCAAGTATAAACTGCTGAAGTGATGAGTATTCCAAACATACAGTATATTTAGGTCTCAATTTGAAAAGGAAGTCGTTAGGTGTTCACCTAAAACGACGTGAATTCATTTATGCACTATATCTACTTGCCAAAATGAGATAGACTTTCATGTTGACTTATTTTTTATAGCCAAAACACAAGAAGAAGTGGCTCCTGATTTAGATTTAGGATAAACCATGAGAGGAGGTGCGGAGACGGCCGGAAACTGAAGGCTGATTCATTTTGTGCAGCTCCTAATTACCGATGAATGCTTTTAAACGACGTCCACTGGAGATTATTGTAATTACATGATGGTAATGTAATGTTTTTCCTTATATTGACTATTTAAAGCTAGTGCTATCTGTCGTCCACTAGTGACAGCTGTGAAATATGAATCAGCGTTGAGTTACTGCAGATTTGTTCAGGAGCGCTGTTGATGTTGTGTAGTATTCTCCTTTACGATCAATCGACCACTCTGACCTCTGGTTTAGACTGATGTTAAAAAAAAGAAGTCCCTGCACTCTCTGATAGGAAAGCTCACCTCTGCCAATCCTCATGAGGCTTCTCCACTAACCTCGACGAACACTCCTCATCACGATTTGTATATGTGCTCAACTCCTGTTCACACACTCAAACACACCAAGATCTCTGCCTCATGACTCTCTCATAGTAATTCCAGGTGAGTTTTTCTTCTTTTTGGGCAAATCTTTTTTTTTTTTTTTTTTTTCTGTTGGGGGCTTATTTTACCTTTTGACTGATGCTGTTCAAACTTCAAAACCATTCGCTGCTGGGGGATAGGGGCTTATCAACATTTCCAACAAAAGTGCAGAAGAGGCCACTAAATATGGTGATCACGTACAGTAGTACTCTGGTTGTAATCCGTCACAGTTCGTCATTTGATCATTACGATGTGTGAAAAGTCATTTAGACTCCCATGTTTAGGAGCCGCTCTGTTTCATAGTGCCTTGACGCACTTTGTTTTGGAATGCATCGGCTGTATAAGAGTAGAGCTACTGTATAGTACCTTTATAAAGCAGCCATCTTTGAGGCTTTGGAGCCCGTGAGACTGAATCTGTTGGCTATAGATATAGCTTTACACAGAGCCGTCACACCGACCGGCTCTAGCTTAATGTATTTGCCCTCTCGGCTGTGGTTGCTGTGCCCCTTCAGAGCCACCTGACTGCCATCATATGGAGTTACTATACTGTTCCTTTACAAAGCCATGTATAGATCTATGATACACTATCAGTATACAGCGACTTAACTTTTAGGGCCACCTGACTGCTATAGTTCTGCCTGAATCGTATGTGTTTGTGTATGGATGTATGTGTTTTAGTTTGCGTTAAAAACCCCCTCATAGGGAATGTCTTTTAAACAGAGTGTGTGAGGGATGACAGTTGTGGTAGCATAGCTGTTTTTCCTGTTCCTGTGTTGCAAAGGACAAAATCCAGTGTTGTTGTAGAGGAAAAAAAAAAGGGATTTTACTGAAACAAAAAGAATCCGTCTTTAACCATCAGTCGGCTTCAAAAATCAATCTACGGGAGCAGAGGTGTCCAAAAGAATGTGTAGTTCATCAGTGTTTTCTTTTACAAATGCAACATAGTTAACAAAGCCTCTATAAATGCCTTAGTGTTACGCAGTACAGAGCTCTGATACGTCCCCCTCCCCTTTCATGTACACTCTTTCTCACGCACACACACACACGCACACACACACATACACATACACACAAATAGATCCTCCAAAATATTCACTCCCTTGGGTTTTCTTGGTGTTCTGCAGTAAGTATAGTGAGCTCTAGTTTTGTATTTTTACGTCTTGGAATGATTCAATATCGATTGATGCCTGTTCGATTAAATGCTTGAAGCGGGTGGGAGTTTTTAAACTTTCAAAAGCCTCCGACCTTCGATGTTCACAACCCACCCAACCCTCACTGTATCGCTCAGGTGGGAAGATTCACACAATGATTTGAACCTTAACTTAACACACTCTGTACAGTTGTTGGTACTCTTTGATGTGACAAACATGCTGGCACAGTAACTGCAGCGCGGCTCAGAAGAAATCCGACACGGTAAAATAAAAGACAAAAGAATTGAAATTTAAGATTTGTATTTGCAATTTGCTCCTTATCAGAGTTGGGTAGGGGCCGGATCATCTGATGGCGGGTGCAGTTGTACTTTTCTGGCATTCGTTTGTCTGTCCTGTGCCATTAATTCTGTCTGTATTTCCCTATTTCCACTGTCTGTAAATGAACGCTACACGTGCCTGTGGAAATGTACGCCCTGCAACTTCCTCTCTTTTCCCGGCTCTGTATGCTTACAGTCTCACACATATACGTAAATATGTAGGCCTACAGTTTGTGCACCTGCACCAAAACATTATGCACAACGCGCACACACATATTTAAGCAAACATGTAATGACACTTCTTCATGCCCAGCTGGGAGATGTCAAGCACCAGGCAGAAGTAAACTGAGGACGTCACTTCCCAGGTGTTTTTTTTTTTTTGTGAGAGGGCGGGATGTCAGAGGCAAGCTCAGGGAGTGGGTCTCCACAGAGCAGCACGGGCCTGTCAATCAGAAGGTCATGGAGGAATCATGTAGTGACGTCTGTGTGTGCATCCCCACGGAAAATGTCTTCTAAAGGGGCACACGTATGATTTCTGTGGTTTGACAAATTTACTTTTGCCAAAAAAAACAAAGAAAAAAAAAAAAAGAAAAAACAGAAAATTGGACCAGCTTGGGGATGAGAGGGAGGGGTCAGCTTTAAGACACGCCCCTAGAAAACAAGTAAGGGAGGGTTTTCATGAAGCCCCCTCCCGACCCTCGCTGCATCTGTGTTGGTGCGTCTCTGTGGGAAAGACACGTGTGTATGTGATTCTGTAGTCTGTAGTCTGGTGCTATGTGACCATGTTTGACAAGTGTGTGAAAAAATAACAACATTTAGAGGAAAAAAAAAAGTAAAATCAGTCGAATTTTAAGTGAAGTCAAAAAAAATATAGGAATACAGCACTGTTGATAAGTTTGAGATCTGAAGTCAAAATGTTTTTTTTTTGTTTTGTTTTTTTTTCATTAGTTTTTGTTTCTTTTATTTCTTGTACGTATGTGAGTGTGAATGTTTGTGTGTGTGTGGAAGATTTCGCTCCTTCTTTTCTGGGCACTGGTCCATGTCGCTCCATTCTTTTGTACAGATGAAGCTAAAAAAAAAAAAAAAAAAGAAGAGGGCAAAATTTGTAAAATATTGTGTCTGTGACTCCTTGTAAAATATTTTCAAATTGTTTATTACAGAGAATCAGTTATTAAATAATGTTCATATTTTTCACTTCAGTTCAGTGTGTGGTGTTTGGTTTCTCAGCGAGACACAGCTGGAGATTCATTGAATTTGCTGGGTTAAATTGAAAATATAAAATCTATAAAAGAATAAATTGTAACTGTATCAGTTGTAATACACAATATACATTTTCATGGTGCAGTGTTAAGGGAAAAGTTCAACATTTTGGGAAATGTACTATTTCTTCTTCTTGTAGAGAGTTAGATGAGTGTCTCTGTTTTACATTGGATTAAGTGCCATGCTATTTCTTGACTGGGACCTGTTTCCCAATAACATATCTTCCAAAATGTTGAACTTTTCCTTAAATAGCCTGAGCCTCGTCTGCTCCTAATCATTTAAAAAAAGACTTGATTTACAGTTTGATTACTGACACTATTAAAAAGTCAAATCAGGTCATGCAGGAGGATGTTTGTGGTCTACATTTGTCATGAATGAACAACATGTTTATGTGTGTGGCTCCACTGAGTCTGTGTGTGTTTGTGTGAATCTCTCCTCCACTACACAGTGAAGAGATTCACAGCGTGGTAAGGAAGTCTGTGAGAGCTTTGTGCCAAGTGTCCGGGTCGTCCAGGTAACAGGGGTGACCTGCTCCTTTCATCACCACCACGCTGTGATTGGCCAGATTGCTCAGGTTGCGCAGCGACACCTCTCCGAGCTGAGCGTCCTGGTCACCATAAACGATCAGCGATGGGACCTGGAGGAGACATTAGACACAAGTAAAAAATTATTCAAACATGTTGCTAAAGGGATTTTGAAGATGTCCAACATTTTACCTCAAGTTTTAAAAAAACTCAAATAAGTTTGGTGAGAAAATAAGAGACAAGCTTTTTATTTTTATTAGATGTGCCTAATTTATGTGTCTAGATGTCAATATGAACAAAAGTAGAGTAAATAAAAGAGAGTGAGAACAGAGTGTGGTGAGGCAGCTTTTATCATTAGTATTTAGGTTCTCTACTTGTAAGACACTACCACATTATAAATGTACTCCATTACAAATTAAAAGTTGTACTCCAGACTCCAGTCCAGATGTGGCCATAGAAGCTGCAGGTTCTGGCCGTGCAGAAAGGCCAATTAAAACATGTAATGTGAGTTAACACAATGTACAAGATTAATAATAAAAATGCTTCAATATGACTCAAGTCCCAAAAACGCTGAATTCAACAATTTCCATGATTCAGCTCAACAGCGTCTTTTCGATAACAGTGTGTAAAAATAGTTTTTCTGTTATGAAAAAGTCGTCTCCAAACCAAGATAAACCTGGTAACTTCACTTTGACATCACCGAGGTTGTTTTAAAAAGCTCCTCCAAAGCCACAGAGGACGTTATACAGATGAGTAATTCTCCCTGTGACCAGTCAAACTGACTTTCATCCGTCAAATCAGTGGACTGCACCTTTAAAAACTTGTTGTTTAAAAGTGTTACTGGCAAAATGCACTTAAAGTATAAAAGGTATGAAAAAGAATAGGCCTGGTCAGAGTTAGAGTAAAATACTGCATTATAATTACTGTTGTGTTTCTATGTATGTCGACTTCTTTCAGCTTTAAATACAGTTAAAACAGGACAGCCACTTTTTTTGTGTTTTTTTTATGTAAAACCTCAATCATCAAAGTATCCAGTAACTATAGCTGTCAAACAAATGTTATATTAGAAGTATCAAAGAAAATAAAATGGAAATATTTAAGTAAAGTAAAAGTACCTTAATATTATACTCAAATACAGTACTTACATTCCAGCACTGATTTTATTCTGTTTCATTTGCTGTGTGTATTTAATCATGTTACTATCACAATTCCACTCTGATATTATGACACTGCTTTTGTTCTACAGTATATTATATATTTTCCCCAAATCACAGAGCGTCATCTGCTCCTTCAGTAAGAGCTTCATGTGTTTTCTTCAGACATGTTTGCTTGTTTCTGGAGGTGAACTACTTCTCTGTAACGCACACATCCCCTTCATGGATTATGCACCTTCACTTGGTTTGCTATCTAAGAAATTTAATTTTGGAATGGTTTGGAGTTGGATGAAAGCCAGTGCCGTCTGTGAAAGTACAAAGTCACATGATATCTACTCCTGTCATGGTAGCATGTAAAAATCCACAGCCTCTTTTAGAAAGGGGACAGGGAAATGCTGGAAATTGAAGTTGACATTCACAGTTGCTCAAGTTATCCTTTAAAGAGCAAATGAAGAGCACACATAATGTAAAAAAAATAAAAAATAAAAAAAGTTTTCCACAAAAGGAAACTAGAAAAAGAATATAAACCAGAGGCATATCCTCATGCACAGACTCTACCTTTACACTCTGGTACTGCTCTGCTGTGAATTTGTCGGTGCAGATGGGAGCTACAGGGACGTAGGCTCGTATGAGAGCCTGGTGCTGGAGGAGGAAGGGGAGGGAGTACATCCCACTGAGGGACGGGCTGATCACCACCACGGGGCTCAGGTTCAGGTGCTCACACACTTCCTTCAGGAAACCTGCAGGGGCCAGTTCTCCCACCGGTGCCGGGGCCTCAGCTGACTTAGACCGTCCAAGTCCTGTGGACAGACAGGGAGAGGGATGGGGTTAAGGGGAGGCTTGAGAGAGGAAGCAGAGGGCAGCAGGTGGGGAACAAGAGCAAAAGCATGTCCAGATTAACCTGTTTAGTGGCCTTGGGACACAATTTTGCTGTTTGAGAACTACATATCAATCGGTTTTCACACCAGAACCTTTAGAGCAGAGGTTGTCAAACTGGGAGGTGTGGGAGAGTTGGTAGGAAGATGATACTGTGTGAGGTGAAAAGGCTGTGAAACAAAGGGATGCTATGGTTTGGCCTGCTCACCAACACGGTACACAGTTACGGTCAGCAGTAGTGGCTGCGACACACAGCCCACGGAGGCAGCTGTGGTACTTAAAAACCCTTAGCACCCAATAGTTTGAGAATTATCAAATTAAGTTTTCTTAAGTCATCCATTGATAGTTGTCTGTGCATCCATCTGTACACTGCTGGTGTTAGAACTAGTGATGCAAATGCCCTTACATACGTATATGCAAGTGATTAAAGTTCCAGCGACCAGACACAGTGAACCTGGGACTTTTAGGACCCCTGGAGGTCTGGGAATCCAGGGCAGTTGCCCACTCTGCCCAGTTGTTCATCCAGACTTGTGTGAAGTAGTGAAGAAGGCCGAGTTTGTTCCCTTCAGACTCACCTGGCAGGTCGATGGCGACTGCACGGCAGCCAGCTCTGGCCAGAGTCTCCAGAGTGCCAATGTTGACCCAGTTTTCTGATGAGAAACGGATGCCGTGAAGGAGCAGAACTGACATGTTCACTTCCCCTGAGGCGGGTTCACTTTGTCTGTAGAACAGCGGTGCTTTGCAGCTCTCCACCTGCACACTCCCTTCTGTCATCTTAACAGCTGACATCTTGAACAAAAAAAAACCCACTGGATTCTCAGATCAGACTGCACATTTACATACAAAATCATAATCCGATCAAGCGCGTTTACAGTGTATTGCCATAAATCACAAATTTGTCTGAATCTAAACAACATAAGATCTTCTCCTTAAACCTGCGACTCAGATGAAACCTTTTATGGAAAAAAAGCAACCTCATGAAGATCAAAAGAGGAAGGATCCCTCTGTAAGGACAGAGTAGTGGCAGTCCTACACTTTAGTTGATTAGTTGATCAACAGAAAATGAATTGGCAACTTTTTATTAGTAACTTTTCAAGCAAAATTACTAAATAATCTGTTTACAGCTTATCAAATGAGAGGATTTTTGCTTTTCTCATTGTTATATCATTGTAAAATGAATATATTAGTTATGGTAACAGTAACAGGGCAAGCATTTTAAAGACATGACCCTGAGATCTGCAAAATTGTAACAGGCAACTGTCACTATTGTAGCGTACACAATTAATTGCAAAATTTAAATTGATAAGATGGATAGATAGATAGATATACAGATAGATACTTTATTTATCTCCCAGGGGAAATTCATGTCTCCAGTAACTCATTGGTAATAATAATAACAATAATATTTAAATTAGTCCACTTCCTTTGGCTGAGGTTGTTATATATGATAATAGTTTGTTGCAAACATAAAATAAAATACATAGCAAGTTTAACAAGTTTAAGTTTCAGTTAAAATGTATAAAAACAAGTCCTTTGTGAATGGGCAAATAAAACATAAACATTTTTTGTATCATTATTATTAGTAGTATAACTAGTATTATTATTGTTATTATTGGTTTACTGTGCACTCTGGCTTTAAATCGTGACAAATGTACATGTTATATACAGGCTATTTAAATTTTGTATTAAGAATTCTCTTTTACTTAAGTGTTACTTTTCACACTAGCCTTTTTGCCCGCTGCGTTTTAGCTTGTACATCAGAGAGATTATTCATCCGTGAATCTTCTTCATGTGGTGTAGTGCTGGCTGAACAGCATGTGGTTGTTCTGTACATCAGGGGAAAAAAAGAAACAATAAGTAGAAGCCAACTAAGTAAATAAATAACAGGTATCAGATGGCAGCTGCTCACATCAACACACCAGCCAAGTCTATTCCCTTCACTTCTGTAAAATGTGCAGGTCTAAGAGAGCCCTGGTAAATGAAGCCTCAGTGGTAAACACAGCCGATTTAATCCACACCTCTCTGGCACAGTCTCAACTGAACACGGTCAATTGCTCCACAAAGACGCGTGTTGCACCGTTTTGCATCATGTTCCTGTTCATTTGTCCGCTCTGTGTTTCAACAACCGTCTTTTAATGTGTCGTGTGAGTTCACAGAGAATGCCTGTCTGCCTCCTGTCCAGAGTTGGAGTGAAGCTGGCAGGTTACACACTCTGATCAAAGTCCACATTAGATCATTTTATTTGTGATATCGAGCTCGCTCTCTGTGCTCCCGCTCTTCATCACAAACACCATGAGAAAAAAAATCCTCCTCTTCTTACCTGATGCTTTGCAGAAACGAGCCGATGATTAACCCACAAACTAGATCTGTTTGTAGTCCAGACCCAACTGTAGTTTCACTTTATTTCCCGGAAAACGGGAGAAACCCCCCCCCGGAAAACCTCTGGAAATTATTCTACTGACGTCTAGCGTTTGTTTGGAGAACTGCTTTTATTCTGGCAGCAAATTCAAATCCAACCAGACGTCTGTGTTTCATGCAGGATATTTGGTTTAAACGTCAGGTACATTGTACACGGATTGGAGTATCACAGGAAGAAAAAAATAGTTTGCATGGACGAGGGCCGATGTGCCACTGTTCATTAATGATTGATACATGTATTGATCGGCTGTGTTTTGGGGATTAGGGCCTCTGTTTGAGTAAGAGCGCAGTGTTCGCGTGTGGGTGGTTGTGTTTTAGGCAGGATTTTTTTTGCTTTCTGCGTGGATTGCCAAACTCCTTCTGAACATCTGGGGATTTTTCTCTTCTATCAGGGTGATCTACAGAAGAAAAAAAAAACCCAAATCGCCGCAGGATCCCAGTCTGTGGCCACACTATTATCCAGTATTATAAAAGAGTCTCTATCTACCACAGACCACAAACAATGAAACTGCTTCTGTCCTGTATTCTCCTGACAGTCGGACTGGTCACTGGTAAGAAAGTTTTATGATCCCTGTTTTTAATTTTAAATGACTCAAAGTCATATTTGTTATGAGGATAATGACGTTTTGATTTGAATGTGTTTTGGCAGCAGATTTTGACTCTTCTAAGATTATGTCTTAAACTACAAAAATTAAGAAATCCCCAAAATACAACCAATAAATTATTTTCAGTTCAGTTTTGTGAGTACAAGGAATTCAATTTAGTTCTGTGTAAATACATGCTGGTGATTGTTGTAGTTGTAGTGGCAGCAGCAGTAATATTAGTGGTGGTTGATTGTTTCAGTAACCAGATATGTTGCTCTTAAAAGCTTTTTCTGGTCTCAGCTGTTGGTCTCTTGGTCCAAAGGTTGTATGTGTGCAGGCTCATGCCCAAATGATGTAGTTGGTACGAGTTCAGTTAGCACCTGCACTCCAGGATAAATTTACAGGCTTGAAAGACAGCCTGTAGAAACCGCGGTTCTGGTTCTGTGTGTGTGTATAAACAGGGTACCGCAGTCGTCTGAATGACTTCCAGCGCTCTGAGGGCAGAGAACTGGTTCCTACCTCCTGGAACTCAGCACGAGTGTTGCTGTTACAGGACCTGAACCTGGAGGAGTGTGCCTTACGCTGCGCACAGTCACTGGACTGCAGGTATCCACATTAAACCCATTTAATAGAGCAGGTTGTGATCATCACTAGGCACCTTTTTCCCCAATGAGGCCATAAATAAAACAGCCTTATTATTTGTTATTTATGCCTCCATAACTACACAAATAAAAACAACTTTTTGGTTGCCAGGTTGTGAGCTCATATTTAAGAGATGTTATGTAATATATTTTATTTGAGGCTCAGTTGGACTTTAGAGCGTCAGGGCCAGACCCATTCACTAATGTGACTAAACGTTCACCCTTGACCTTGGAAGCATCAGTTGGCAAAACAATCCCAGCTCGATGGCTGTTAGTAGCTGTTCAGGGGTTTTCAGTCATATCACATGATCTTCATCAGCAGATAGAGTTTGCTCAGTTTTCATCAAAATGCTTTTTTTAAACTAAACATTTATCTGAGCATCTTAAGGAGTTATCATTTGTGTTGTTTCAAAGTTAATTGTCATGGAGTGAAAACTGGGCAAGCTTCCTCTGCTGAGGAAGATCATGTGATATGGTCAAAAGCTCTAGAAAAACTTTTAAGGGACCTTGTGGTGAGACTGTTTTGCCAACTATTCATTGATGACATGCTGTACTTTGCAAGTGTAAGTGTTCACGTCTTGTCATAAAGTGGAAAACCATTAATTTAGGGTTGTAGGTTGTTTTAAAAAATATTGTTAATATCATTAATAATCCCTCATTGCACAGGAAAACTGTGTTTGCACGCATTCTGTGTTGTTCTATTTAACCACCAACTACTATTGACTTAAAATCTGTGTAAATGCATTGACTCTGACACTAAAGAAATCTTCAGAAGCCGGTAACTAACACGAAAGTTTAGTTTGAAAAATAAACAGTGAAAAGAAAAAAAACATTTTTGCTATCCTCTTGTTCAAAACCTTTCTCACTCCACAGACCTAATTAATTCCACCTCCAACTATGAGCTGTCAACCATGACATGATTGATAATAATGGAAATGTTATAACTATTTCAATTTTAATTTCAGCAACAACAGTTAATTACTCACAACACAGTCCTGTGGAATCACAATATATATTAGCACACAGCCTTTCTTATTATGGCTCTTACAAGTGCAGTAGATCATCAGTTGAAACAGGAAGTCGCTCTCTAAATTGTGATGGAGATCCGGACATTCGCAGATCTCAGCTATTAATTAATATAAATTAATGTTATTATTACTGGTAGAACTTAGGTTGTAATAAGGATGACAGGTCACCAACCTGAAATCTGTGTCAGAAAATAAAGCTATTAATGATAACCCATAAATGTCTTCTATTTTTAAGTGTGTAGCCATTAATGTATAGACTTTTGACATAAAAATATCCCTCACCACCAGAGCGTTCAACTATGAGACACGTCCGACTGTCACCTGTAAGCATCTGCCCTGGGTGGGTGATGGCAGCAACGCAGAGGTGAAGAGAAATGTAAACTGTGACCTTTACGAGAAGAAGGGTGAGATTCACATGCGCTCACATTGTGTGACGGTACAGTGATCAGTTTGATGTGTCGGTACTGGAGTTGTTTAATCGTCTGTTTTCATTGTGAAGTCTATGTCAGAAAGTGCATCGTGGGGAAAGGGGAAGACTACCGAGGGAAGGTTTTCACCACTAACAGCGGCCTCACCTGCCAACAGTGGTGGTCCAAGTTTCCTCATGATCACAGGTGAGAGTCATCCTCTGAGGAGTCAGTAAGTCTTTCATACAGTGCAGTCCGAGGGTTTTAGGACATTGTTTCACTACATTGACTTTGAAATAAAACACAAGGATAGATTGGCGTTTCATCTTCACATGTGTTTAAAGGTGTTCACATCCATACTGGGTGAACAGTAAACGTCTCAAAACAGTGCAGAGACCGTGTGGTCGTCTGGCACGAACAACAAGTATACTTGGGTGTCGTCTGCATAGCAGATGGAGCGCCCAGTGAGACAGTATTCAAACCTTACAACAGAGCCTTTTCAGTGGCGTGACGGCTCTTAAAACACAACTAATTTGGTTAAAGGAGGTCATCCTGTATCCTGTAACCTTTCGATAGACTCAGGTAAAAATGGAAGTAGAGAAACCGGCTGATAGTTCTCCACTTGAGCAAGGTCAAGTGTGAACTTTTTGAGCAGAGGAGTTTCCTGAGCCTGTTTGAATGCGGTTGAAAATGTTCCCGGAGCCACTTAAGCCTTCATCACGTGTTATTGCTGGTATAATGGTGGAATATATTGGTTGGCGGAGGTTTGTGGGAATGGGGTCCAGTGCACATGTAGTAGGACGACTACCAGTCCGAAGTTTTCACACATCATTCTCAGTGAGAGGGGTGAATGAGAGAAAAGATGCATCCTTTACCGGAATGGACCTGTGGCAGGACTCCTACACTTTTTGGAGCCTCGCACTCAGTTAGCAGCTACCACTCGTTGGTATAAATTGACCTCTAATGAGGAAAATGTGCTAATAGGAGGCAGAGCGGAGGTGAACACAAAGGAAAAGTGGGTGGGAGAGTGGGTGGGAAGTCGCAGAGGTTGCAGCAGTATGAAACCAGAGGTGGTGGAATTGATGGCAGTTCCGGGAGGCTTTCAGTGGAGCAGATGAAATAGTGCAGAGGTGTAACAGATTTAAGTTTGTTAATTTGTCCAGTTACTTCCTGTCTGAGTGCTACATTGTTGATCTGAAGTAGTTTTAAACACCCACTTCAACCTTCAACAGTCAGAGTCAAGTGTGCTTAAGTACAGAGCCAACACATCTGAAATGTGTCCTAATAACCTTCTGACTCCACTATATAACTATAAGACTCACTGGAAAACTCTCGGTCTGTCTCAGGTGGACTCCCACAGCTGCTAATGGCCTGGAGTTGAACTACTGCAGGAATCCAGATGGGGATCGAATAGGTCCCTGGTGCTACACCACGGATCCTGAGCGACGCTATGAAAGCTGCAACATTCCCCAGTGCAAAGATGGTACATGTGTTCATAACCATGCATTAAGCACGTGTGATGGGTCATACTTCATTTATGAGTCCTGAAATTTCTAGGAGGTTTTCTATGTAATTTGCCACTAATTATGAGGAAAATCTAGACAATATTCAGAGAAAGTACAGACACAGTTTTAAAGAAAGAATTAGGAATATAAATTAGTATTTACTTGAGTGTAGTTTAGAAGCAGTTGTAGATTTCCAGATGAATTTCCTTGAAAGAACCCCTTCAGTTTTAATGAGTTGGTTAAACACAAATAAATAGTCATTTATTTGTTGAGTATGCTTACTAGTTATATACACATTTTTAAAAAATATTTTTGCATGTTCAGTTGACTTAATGTGCACTGACTAAAAGATGGTTACTTTAGTAAAAGAAGGTTGTAATTAACACGTGTACCAATTAAACACAGTCTCCATTTTCCCTGTAATTAGCAACAAATTACACAGTCTTCTCCAGGAACCTTCCTAAGAAATTCTAATTACATCAATTCCCTCAAAGGAGATTACTTGGAAATGATGGGACCTGTAAAATGAAGTGTTTCTGTATGTGCGATCTTTTCTTTACATCTTCTCACATTTCACACCTCTGACTTTGACACTTTG